TGCTGTAATGTCATTTATTATCAACCTCAGAATAGAATTGTCTGGTTTTTTTATCTTATCACTGAACAAAAACAAATCTTTTTATCATTATCCAGATAAATTTCTGCTTTTAAATTTATCTTCAGGAAGTGAAATGAATTTTGTTTGTCTTTCCATTAATTTATTTACACAATTACAACAGCACATATTCAACTATCCAGGTTTTAAATCTATAATATGTTTGCGTTATACCTGGTTTGACTTGCTTAGAAGTAAATTTCAAAATGAGCTGTGGAAGGTATACAGGTTGTTCGAAATTTCTACAATGCATACATACATTCTATAATATGAAGGTACAGGCTTTATTTTCTTTAAATATCGATCCTAGATGTGCAATTGAAGCTGCAATTTTTTTAAAAATATGATAAAATTCTTTGGAAAACGTTTCGGTACTGTGGGTAAAAGGACTTACTGAATATGAAATTTACATTTTTACATAAATTTCATTTTTAATATTATACAGTAAAAATAATATAATTGAATTAATAATATAATAAAGTGAAATAATATAATAAAATATATATTACATATTTTACATAAATGACCAAAAATTATAATCTACATTTTTGCATGACTATTTCATTAATCACAATAAAAACTACAGCTTTACCCTGAAAATTTGCGAGTATATGGTTAATAATTTTCTTTCAAGCTTCCAGCTGGGAATTGAAAATACCATTAATTAATAAATAAAACAAAACAAAAAAAGCCTTTAATTTATCATCTTTTGTTATAAAGAAACAGAAAATCCTTTTTCTGAGTGCAGATGATGTCTCAAATGATGAATCCCATGCCGCCCAGCCGGTGTAGGACTTAATAACCCTGACTGTTGTAGCGATGGTCACGGGTTCGGACCCCGGAGAAGGCATGGTTGTAACTGTCCGTCCCTTCAAAGGAGGTAACGATAACCACCTATCAGGTGCTTCATTGATAGAATGGCCTTTACTTCCCGCCATTGCAGTGACACAAGGCTAATGGCTATTATATAAAGCGCTCGGCCATTTAAAAAATAAATTAATCCCATTGTACTCCATGACAAAGCATGGTATCATATTGTTACATCTATTATGTATTTCTTGCAACAATGGAAGTGGGGAAGTTAATGGAATACCCAATCATACTCATTTCATTTGAATCTATGTAACTGTGACATCTCGGCCAAAATGAAAGGACCACTATAAGGAATTCGTAACATCAACAGACCGAAAATTATCCGTGCTTCAGGACAGTCAATTCAAGAAAAGTGGATTTGCGGATGGTGTACCACACCTTCCAGTAATTTGGTAGAACTTGGCCAACATATTGACGGACTTTAAATATTTGTATCTATGGTAAAACGAACAATGGCAACACTACGAAAAAAAATATATTTTTATCTCCAACGCGAGACACTCTGTATCGGAATTTCTAAAAATATGCTCATTTTAAAATTAATTTACGATATTGCTGTTGAACTGACTTTTGTAATTTGAGTACATTGAACATGATATTTAATAAATAAAGGTAACGCACAAAACGTTAAATAAAAACGCCCGTTTGGACGTAATTTAAAATCTGAAACGTTTCAGTTTTTTTTTTTTTTTTTTTATTTCAGGAAGCGAAATGATTTTTTTTTTTTTGTTTTTGTTTTTTTTTGTTTTTTTATTTATTCATTTACACAATTACATAAACACAAATTACACCAACGAAGGTTTAAATCTGTAATATATTTGCGTAATATTTGATTTGACTTAATATTTGATTTTACTTAATTAGAAGCGAATTTCAAAATAAGTTAAAAGCTGAGGAAGTTTGTTAAAAATTTATACAGTACATAGATACATTCTATAATATAAAGGTACAGGCTTCATTTTCTTTAAATAATAACCCTAGATGAGCAATTGAAGCTTCAAATGATAGAATTCTTTGAAAAACGTTTCAGTATTGTGGGTAAGAGGACTTATTGAGTATGAAATTTACATTTTTATGTAAATATCATTTATCGTAATAAAAACTACAGCATTACCTGGAAAATTAGTGAGTATATGCTTAATAATTTCTTTCAAGCGTCCAGCTAGGAATTGAAAGACAAATGCTTTTACATTTGTGATAAAATCATTAATTAACAAACAAAACGAAACAAAAAACCCTTTTTATTTATCATCTTTTGATATAAATAAAAGGAAATTCTTTCTGCTGAGTGCAGGTAATGTTTCAAATGATTAACCCCATAGAATGCAACAGAGGCCATCTATCAGGTGCTTCATTGATGAAATGGCCTCCACTTCCGGCCATTGCAGTGGCACAAGGCTAATGGCTATTAAATAAAGCGCTCGGTCATTTAAAAAAATAAATAAATGCCATCCTACTCCATAACAAAGCATGGTATCATATTGTGACATCTAGTATGTATTTCTTGCAACAATGGAAGTGGGGAAGTTAATGGAATACCCAATCATATTCATTTCATTTGAATCCACGTACCTGTGACATCTCCGCCAAAATGAAAGGACCACTATAAGGGATTCGTAACATCAATAGACCGAAAATTATCCGTGCTTCAAGGCAGTCAGTTCAAGAACAGTGGATTTGTTGATGGTGTACACCTTCGAGTAATTTGGTAGAAGGTGGCCAACATATTGACGGACTGTAAATGTTTGTATCTATGGTAATGGAAGTTTTTTCAAAATTATCGAAGTGTTGTGATTACTTTCTATCCAATCCTTATAATTACTAGACAACATGACTCCAAAACTATACATATATTTTTAGACAGCAAAACATATTTTCCATTCTCCTCTCGCTAGTATATATATTTTCGGAACTACGTTGCCTATGCGTATTTTACTTTATGAAAGTTGTTTTGTTGTCGTTTATGTGATTACGACAAATCGTCGAGGGCTATCTGCCTAAGGGAAGGGATGCCTTTGTGGAGGACTTTATAGTGAAAAGTGGTTCGTATGCACGTTGCAAATGGGTAAAACGACGAAACCGCCCATACATCATAATGAAATGGCCATCATTTTCGGCCTAGTGGCGCAAGGCTAATGGTTATTAAATAAAGTGCTCGGTCATTAAAAAAAAAAAAAGAAAAAGAAAGAAAAAGAAAATATTTTATACCATCATCGTCCATGACAATGCGCGGTATCATAATGCGAACTCTATCACGTATTTCTTGCAACAGTGGAAAGTGGGAGATAAAAGAATACCTATCATAATCGTTTCATTTGAATCTACGTAAATGTAACCTCTTCGGCGAAATGGAAGAACCACTATAATGGATTCATTGCATCTACAGACACCGAAAATTACGCACGCTTCAGGGCGGTCAGGTCAAGAAAGTGGATTTGCTGATGGTGTGCGACACATTCCACTAATTTGACAGAAGGTGGCTAGCAAACTGAGGGACTGTAATTGTATATATGGTAATAAAGTTTTTCAAAATTATCGAAATGTTGCGAATACTTTCTATCCAACCTTTATAATTACTAGATAACATGACTCCAAAAATATGCGTATATTTTTAAACAACAAAACATATTTTACATTCTCCCCTCGCTAGTATATATATTTTCGGAACTACATTGCCTATGCGTATTTTACTTTATGAGCGTTGTTTGGTTTCTTTTACGACAAATCATCGAGGGCTATCTGCCTAAGGGAAGGGATGCTTTCGTGGAAGACTTTCTAAGGAAAACTGTCTCGTATGCACTTTATACATGTGGAAAATCACGAAAAAGGCCTATGCAGCCGGACCGTTTGCAGGATTTGATCCTCGGTGCGAACTACCAGTGTTCAGCGACTTTACCGCTTGGCCGCTGATCGGCCTTATGTTATAAAATATAATAATAATAAAAATACAAATGTTCATAAAGTTTATTATTTCCTAAAAAATTCTAGTGGGTAAACATCTGTTTTATATCCCTAAAATTTGATTTCAATGCCCGCATAAAAATGTTGCGGTAAGAATGCCTTAAAAAATGCCGTATTTCTTTTCATACATTTTACTTTGCAAGTATATTCTAATAACACCTGTAACATCAAGCACAAAAATTATTACTTAAAAAATTCCTTAAAGCGGTTTAAAGAAATTACAGGTGAAACGAATCCTAAAGTTTGTCGAATCCGGTTTTTCAAGGAAAAAAAAAGGAGAAAAGAAAGGTCTTTTCTTTAAATTAAAATTTTCAACTAAGTTAAAATAGAAAATCAATTTATAATGAAAAATAAACTTTAAAAATGCAGTTTTTAAAAATATACTTGTATTTACAAAATGAAAAATGAAACTCTGAATGAAACTCAGAAAATAAAGCATATATTTAAAAATTCTTGAATATTTTTCTTAAAACAACTAAAACAAGACTTAGATTTCTGTCAGCATAATTTGAAAAGCGAATAAGTAAATAAATAAATAAAATAAAAAACATTACATTAAAAGTTCAGATTTTTTATGATTTTCGAGATTATTTGAAAATCAAACCAAGTGTTGAAGGAGAAAATAATTTCAAGAGTTCTCACTGATAAAGCATAAAAAACGCTAAATTGCCCATCCCTGTTTATAATTATATAAAAAAAGACTGTTTATAATTGAGAGTTTATAAAAGTTCTAGTATTTGAAACATTACACTTCTCGGTAGTAGAACGTTGCTCGCGTATATGAAATCGAAAAGGGTAATTTTTTATTAGAGCCCGTTCATTGGTTTTCAATGAAACTGATGTTTCTGAAATTTTGAATTAACTTTTTTACTATTTTTATAGTAGGATTCAAATAGCTTGAAGGGCAAAAAGAGTGCGCAATTTCGCGTTTTCGAATCTGTAAACTTTATCCAGATTCTAGAAATTGGAGAATTCGAATGTGCCATTCCAAAATGAAATTTCTATAAACTTTACCATACAGTTTTAAAACTTTTAACTAGATGACATTCTTTTTATTTAAAGCTGAATTCGAAACTCAAAAGTAAAAGGATTCAGAAATGAGTACTTACGATTTCGTAGCTTGTCAAGCTTATGGATTGTTTATCGTTAAGGCAGAATCATCACCTACCAAATCTAAAGCTTTGTTTTCTTCCTCTATTGCTGAAGAAACACTTTCACCTGCTTCATCACATTTTAAAGCCCCTTGACTACCATAGTTTGAATGTTTTGAAGATTTGCTAATTTGTGTTCTACTTTCTGATGAGTTCTCTTCTTCATTAATTAAAGGAAAATCTCCCTTTCTCTTCCGGAGAATAATGAGTGAAACTATAACGCCTATTATACAAAGAAAAATTACTGCACTTAAAACTCCATATCCAATTATTTCTGGCCTCTTTACATTTCTGTAGTAAAAATCTGCCATATTATGGTCAATTTCTAAACTAAGTGCGCCCAAAATATTGGATAAATGCCTTCTTGAATATCATCCAATTGAAATATCCCGTTTACTCTCTGTAACTGAACATTGATTTGAAACCGAACGTTCAAATAAAGAGACATGCCTGTAACAGGGTCCACATCCACGTACGACTTATGATGTTCTCCATTTGGCTGAAGACCATTGATTGTTTTCAAATAGGATGGGTCCGCCATGTGGAAGTGAGGAAACGAAATGAGGACAGGTGCACCAAATTGGCAAGGGCTGACATCCAGTACTCCAGATGCTAAACCTGGCTGCACATCAAAACAATAATTGTTTGGATTTTCACTACCGTTTGCAAAAATTTCATAGGTAGCTTCGAATCTTTTAGAAAGTATACCGTAATGCGTTACATCTCGAGTGTAATTGAAGGTGAGAGATCTGCAGAAAATAGATTGAAAAAAAGTATAAGTTTCTTGATATCCATCTATAGGCGGACCAGTTTCAATACTGGTGCCATTCATCATGTTGCATTCGTCACCTTTCCAGAAATCCAGTCGCTCTTGCCCATTCCAAGTATTAATAAAATTCGTTAGTGAAGCGTTTTCTGCTCCCGTAAAAACAGTGAAGATACCATCATCCGTCGCGTTTTTGCCGTACAACCAAGCAAAACGTCCGTTTTTATAAGGAATGTCAGGTTTAATAGTAGGTGCTATTTTTATAATTATATCATTGTAACCATCATATACAAGTTCTCGTATTTTTTTCCGAGTAATTAGATTTTCATCTTTTATCTTTAGTGCAGCAGAGGCTATTATTTTTAACCACCAAGGATAATTCTTTATCATTTTAATAGCAATGGCCATCGGCCCATTCAATGTGTAAATTTCGTCATCCTGACTTCCAACGGACATTTCTGGTACAAAATGATATGTTCTTGTTTCTCTGTAAGATACAGTACCATTTGAATTCCACTGAGGATACTTTTTCACCCATTTGCCTTTATAAGTATAAGGACCAACTTCTGAAACATTTAATGGAGCTCCTCTTACAAAATCATCACCATTCGTAACATTAAAAAAGTATAGTCTCTCATATAATGGCAAAGGTATAGCTTTCCAAATAGTGGTGATCACTGAACCCTCTGTCGTTATTTGCTTCTTCAGCTGGTTTTTATAAATAGAGGGAAACACTATTAAGAAAACTGTTGATATAATTAAGATAATAATAGAAGTCCAGAGAATGAATTTAGCTACTTTTTCAGAATTACATTTCTCAGCCATTATGCTCAGATTCGTCGAGCCAATTTGATGTGCGAAAGGACATATTATCAAAGCTATTCAGTTTTTATGCTTATCTCCGAGCATTGCAAAGTTGTGATAAAAATCATCACGAGGTGGATGAGATAACGGTTAGTTTTTGCTCTTTAGTTATTTTAAAAAGGTATAGAGATGCGTATTTGAAATAAACAGTATTCTGCTAATCTGTAATATTGCATTTGTTTCATGTGGAATCACAAAATAATGAACAATAGTTTGCTTTAAATTAAAAGTATGTATAAAAAACTGCTTTATTGTTTTACATTAGATGAAAGAAAGAAATGGTTGTCATTTGTATAACTGAAATTTATTTTTTGCAGTTTTCAGAAAATAATATGTTTGTCGCTATGACACAAGTACGAATCTGAAAATCTCAATTAAAAGTTAAATTTTCATTTATCTTCAAGAAATTATGATTTATGAAATTTTGAATTAGGATTTCTGCGCAATAATATTTTATGTACATCTTACAGCTCTCTTTCTTTCTTAATGAAGTGTATATCGAAAATGCATATGGCTAAAAAACAATAAAAAGTCTAGTTTGAGGCATTAGAGTTTAGTCATTACTAACCACGGGGTTTTGAAGTATACTCTAGTAAAGTTAACATTAATATTTTTCCACTTTTGTGATGTTAACTTTTTCCTTATTCAAATTATCAAAGTATGCTTGAAATTCCTACCATCTATGGTAGAGAATTTATTCAGAACTTGCGAAAGGAGAAAAGCTTGTGTAAGTATCTTCTCAGTCCTCTTTATACATCTTTGCTGTCTAGGAACAAAATCCTGCTATTCGATCAAGAAATACAAGGTATCAGATAGGGAGGTCCGCATTATTTTAAATAAGAGTGAGAAATCTTTGAAAATTTCTTTTCCTAACTTTATAGCAGCAATTTAGGCTATTTCTTCATACTCGTATTGAACAGCAGTTTAAGCTATTTCTACATTCTCGTATTCAGCAGCAATGTAGGCTATTTCTTCATACTCAATGTAACCTAATAAAAATATAGTCTGTCTTAGAAGTTTTAAAACTAGAGATAAGGCCATTGTCTTTAGTGTTTTCACCCTTTGGCCTCTTTGCTAATGAGACGCCTGCTTTTTTAAGCAGGAAAAGGGACAGAAATTGCAAAATCACCTTTATTCTCGGTATCCTTTTGAACTGTAGAGAGAGTCATAAAAATATAAAACTAAACGAATTGAAAAAATTAAGAAAAGGATTAGGGGCACCGACTCAATAAAACTCCTAATTCCTCATGAAGAGCTGCTGCTGTAGTTTTCCGTTTAAAGGCGGAGCAACTCGCTATTTATATAGATTTTTAGTTTGAACACTGACGAAGCTCAAAAATGCAAAACACTTTAAAGCTCCGTTAATTGTCCATTTTTTGAGAAAAACTTTTTATAAAGATATTCGCGTGCTGGAAATTATTTAAGGACTGGCTGATGAAGTTAACTGCTTCTAATTTTAATTGGACGTTTTTAGCATATTTTAATGTTTTTCTTAGTGTGTTTTCAAATTTTTATATGAAATTTGGCATACTTATAAATTTCATTTCGTATGCTTTCAATTACTTTTGTGTTTTCACTCTTTGTTTCTATATACTAATGAATTATATTGTATTAACAACCACTGCTAAATGTAAAAAGTCTGATGTGTACACCACATGTCTTCCTTATACGGAATATTTAATTATACGCATTTTTTCTTGCATTTCATTTAAACGGATTGGATTGAATTAAACCTACTTCCTTGATAGCGAATAAACCACAATAGAATAAATTCACTATTTAAAATTCACTATATCTGTTTACCACAGCGACATTCTGGCGCTTTGTTCACTTAACAGCGTTATATTTCATTCATATTATAACTCATGCACAAAATTTATATCATTTGAAAAATTATCTAATCGTTGCCACATGTTCTATTCAAATACTATAATAAATCTAGAACGATGTATAAAAGAAATTAAGCAAACAAAACAAAAAAGAAACAGTTTTCACAGACGATTCAGTATTTTTCATTCAATTATTTCAGTCCTCACTTCGCGACAAGGCAAAAAATACATAAAAACTCAAAATATCTATATTAAAAATTATAAAGTAAATCTTAAAGACTTATTTCCTCGAAAAAATTCCAATTAAGCATGATTTAATTCGCAATAATAAATGAAGGCGTTTATGTGAAGCTTAGTTTCTCTAGATTGGTAACAAATCTACTATTCTGCTGTTTTAAATGTAAGCAAATTTATCCACCATGTTACTTAAAAATTAGGCTTAACCGCACTTAAACAGCTTTTAAATTGTTGATAACTCTACAAATATTGCTTGCAGATTTCATAAAGGCATAAAAACTGAACCGGAAGATAAGAACAACATAATTCAATAATTTTTAAAGCAAAAAATGCACAATTTACAAACATAGAAGAGTAAAGAAACTAAGCCAAAATGACCTTTGTGGTCAAGAATTTTGCGCATTGAGTTGCAAAAATTAGAAAACAAGGTAAAAGAATATTCTTAATGCTTCCGCTAAAAAGGTGGCTTTGATACTGTGGTTCCGGTAAAAAATGTTTTTAACATATGTAAAATAAAGTGCAATGAAAAGTGTAAATACAAAATAAACAAAATTATCACTAGAATATTTACAAATAAAAATCAAATTAAAAACTCAAATATAATTAAAAGTAACATGTAAATTAAAGTAAGGCAAGCGTTAAACAATTAAATAAAAATACAATTGTGAAAAAAGACTTAAGCAAAAATACAAAAACAAAAAAAAGCGGTAAATGGTAAATTAGCCCAATTTGAATCTCATTACTGCCTCTCTCTCTATATAAATACATATACGTATATTTATATACTTTTGGTGCGGCCGATTGCAACCAAAATAGGAGGTGCATATCTACATGTTATAGCAGTCCTATATACAAACTGGTGCACATCTACAAGTTATAGCATCCCTATTTCAACGATCTGAGGCTACTCGTTTTTGAGTTATGCGAGATACATACTCGTACATACATACATACATACATACATATATATGTACGTACGTACAGACGTCGCGAAAAAATTTCTTCAGAATTCATTTTAAACTGGTATTATAATATTTTCGAAGAAAAAGAATCCTTTATTATATCCTCACTTACAGATGTCACGCAAAAACATTGTTAAATTGCATTTGATAGCGGTCAAAATGACACCCGAAATTTTTCTGTATTACAATACTTCCTTTTTTCTTCACACAAGGAAGTAAAAAACGAAACACTTCTATCTATAAGCGCGCATAATTCGCTAATATTCTGGAAAGAATTCGTTAACTTAGGTCATTTCTTTATGCCCATTTCCGACTCAAATTCGAAACATTTCATACTGATTAAAAGCTGCTCTATTTGATGATAAAATGATTTCTTGGCAACAGCAGTGCTTTTTAAATAAATGGCTCTTCCTCTAAAAATGTAATTGACACTCATCAAAATGAGACCATTCCATTGCATCGACAGGGTGCAAAACTTTCCTGCTGATGAAGATATATTAAATTCCTTTTCGTTCTCTCACTGTAATATATTTTTTCTTTAGAAGGCGAGGAGCGTCAGTAGTAATTAAAAAAGTGTATCTGATAATCTTGCATGCAAAGGTATTGAACTTTTTATTGTTACTTATTAAAGACATAATAAATAATTTGCTAACTTAAATTATTTTGTTGTGCAAAGCATGTAAAAAAATTAAGCTTTAATTCCACAAAATTGGTTTTCTCCGTCATACCACTACCGTGTTTTATTTTTTTTTCCAAAATATTTTATGTTATTTTTTTAAACAAATGTAAATAGAAGTTTGAAAGTAGTAACCATATTTAAAGAAATAAAAGTTGTGGCCAGTTTTTTTCACAACCTGTTTAATATATGATCTCAATATTCTCAGACGTAATTTTATGAATTGTTTTATAGTACTGTTTTCTAGAGCGCGTAATGGTAAATATCCTTTATGTACTGCACTTTAACATCTCTTTAAAAGGGAGCAATCAAACGTGAACTTTACAAACTAATTTATATATCTGTGTCAAGAAAATTATTACATTGAACATTTCAAATGAAACTGAAATTTTAGTACTCTATAGAGTACTATAATGCAACTAAATAAAGCACTATATCATGACGATAATGATACTTGTGATATTCGACATATATTCCAATACTTAGGATTACATGAGTACAAATATGTTTGAGGTTTCTATTTAAATTTTAATAGAAGCTTCATTGACGGTCATTTAGTTGTAAATTCACTGAAAATGTTATTTAAACTAAACCTAGCTTTGATTTAATGGGTATATAAAAATCTAAAAATTTAATATAAATTTTCTCTCTTAATTTTTGTTAACATATTACTTATTTTAAAATACGTTTCTTTATGTATAGATCATCACAGTAAAAATAAAAGATTAGATGAAACCATAAATCTTTTTATCTTTCTAAGCTCAAACTCCAGTAATATTTATTTTTTTTATCCCTAATTAGAAAACTTTAAGAAAGAAGTACAACAAATTTATAACCATATTCTTCATAATATTATTTATCTGAAAATTAAATACACATTGTTTATCAAATAATTGATTAAACGCGCATACACATTCTGACTTCTGAATATGCAACAGATCAGCAAATAAGATGGGAAATGTTATTAAAAAAATTAAAACTGCCAATCAAAATTTAAAGGAAATTGTTAGTACATTAGCTTTTTATTAGAAAGTATATTTGCTACCAGGCAAAAAAATGTTTGAAAAATATAAGCACACGCACATATATATATATATATATACTGTATAACTTGCTTTCGAATTCAATGAATTTTAGTTCTATATGCTATAGAATACAACATAAAATAAAAATAAATATGTTTAAAATCCATTCCATAAGAAACGTATTAATTCTTTTTATTTTAATTTGCCTTATACTCATTGCTGCTATCAATGCACAATTGGATTTTTTACTCTTATATATACAGAGAGAGAGAGATGTGTGTGCATATGCGTGTATTGTGTGCGTTACTTACATAAACTGGTATATACAGAATAATATAGATATCAAATCCATTAAATTTAATATTTATTTATTTAGTACTGTTTATTACTTCCATCTGTAAGTTTCAATTCAGACGAATGCAACAGAACTAAGAAAATACAACTTTTTTAAACTGGAAAGAATGTGAAACTTCAACGCTTTAACAAACTGTAAGTAAAAAAGTTATCATTTTCGTGATATTTGTAGATGCAAACATATAAAGTCTGTCTGCAATTCGTTTTTAATGCCAAAGCATTGCACTTAAAGCATACACATTTAAAAAATTTCTTTATCTAAATTTTATCCAAACTCGTTTAAGATTAAAATACATTTATGTGAAGCCAATTCTAATTATGAAAACTTAGCTGCATCGCTCCTATGCAATATAAAATAAAAAAATTAAGCATAATGAACAGAAAATAATAAAAATATCATTTTATGTAAAAAGCTTAAATTCAGAAAGGAAAAACTAAATTCTAATGCTTAAATATGATTAAGAATTAAGTATATTGAAAGGAAGAAAATTAATAAATATAAGAATAACATTTTAAACTGGTTTAACAAATTTAATTATTTATTTAAGTTTTTAAGTCACTTACGGCTATTTGCAGTCACATAACTGCTGAGATTCTGTTAGTGAGTTCACTCTTCCATCTTACTACCGCTTTTTGAAAATTTGGAAGCAATATATTGCTGATAACCTTGTCTATCTAATAATGGAACTTCTGTAATCGAACAAAAAGAAGAATAATACGGCATTTTCTTATTTTCTAACAAAGATTTCTTTTCTCTATAAAGGACTTCTTTCTTCGGCAAACACAATAGCAGCGATGATCCAGTAATTAGAGCGAGTGCAATAGTTAAAAGAACACCTAGTAACGAATATACTGCTTTCTTTGGTCCAGTCAGCTTTTCAGTTATAATGTCTGTCAATTCTTGGGTAAGTTTTGCAGACATTTCTACCCAAAATACAGGATAAATTCCAGGATTTATGTCCTCTAGTTCATCTATATCCGGAACTTGCTGAACTTTCAGATTTACCTGGAAGCGTAAACACAAATCCACAGATACTCCAATAACTGGCGCAACGTCTATATGAGAGCCATGCTTTTCTTTGTCAGGACTCAAACCGGACACATTTTGCAAGTAAGAAGGATCCGATAAATAGAAATGGGGAAATGTCAGCACAACCGGAGCACCAAACTGGCACGGACTGAGATCTTGACTCCCAGATTTTAAATCGGGATCAGTTTCGAAGCACCAGTTATCAGGGTTTATAGTGGAAGAAGCAAGAGTTTCCGTACTGCTCTCGAACCTTCTACAAAATATAGTTTTATGATTTACGTCTCTAGTGTAATTAAACGTCAACGATCTGCATATGAGGGGTTGAAAAAAGGTATAACTGTTTTGATTCTCAGTCAAAGCTGGTCCAACCTCCGCATTCGTGCCATTCATCATATTACAAGTATCATCCTTCCAGAAAGTTAACTTCTTGGAGCCATTCCACTCTTTAATCAAATTCATCTTTTTGTGGTCTGACTCTCCCGTAAAAACAGTAAACAATCCCTCATCTGTAGCGTTTTTCCCGTACAGCCAAGAAAATATACCTTTCTTGTACGGAATATTACGTTTTACGTACTTGCCATATTTAATAATACTGTCTTCGTATCCTTTAAAGGCGAGTTCTGCCACAGTCTTCTTTATAATGAGTGTTTCGCCGAGAGTATAAAAAAAACTACCGGCAGCACTTCTAATTAAAATGTTCTTTTCCTTTAAAACATCAGATGCAATTATGAGTGGACCATTCAGAGTATAAATGACATCATTCTCACCACCCACAGAGTTTTCTTTATCGAAGTAGTAGGTTTTTTTCTCTCTGTAAGACACAGTACCGTTAAGCCAAGAAATATCATCTTTAACCCATGTACTTTTGTAAGTGTAAGGACCAACTTCTTGCACTTTCAGTATTTCACTGTTGTTAACAAATTCATCACCATTTGTTATATTAAAGAAGTATAACTTCTCATAAACAGGTAGAGGTAGATTTTTCCAGATGTCGTAAAGAATGGTATTATTTACTAATGTTGTTTCATAATCCAAAGTTTTTTTATAATAAACGGGAAACAGGATCGTGATTCCTATACATACGATGACGAGTAAGAAACCTAAAGCCAGAATACAGTAAAATGTATTTTTTGAAGTATACTTAGACATTTTGTTTAGGACTGCAGACCTTATAGAAATAAACCTGCTCCTCTATATAACGTTTCAGCAACTACAGTCAGGCAAGGTACGGTCTATTGTTAATTTCTTATCAAAATAGTTTCTAATGACGCACTTGAAGCCAAAGCATTGACCACAGAGAATAAAGGCCCATGTAGTGTTTCAGAGGTGAGTAATGCGAGATAGAATGTAAGATAAATGTAAAAAAAGTATCTGAAAGGATTCAAATTTTAACGGTCGCCTAAAAGAGCTTGTTTTTTTCTGCGCTTTCGTTGAGCTCGTAATCTACCAGTCTGTTCTGGCACTCATTGCTGCTACCCCTCCTTTTTTTAGGGAAGGGATCTTTTTAGCTTTAGGATCATTTATCATATATCCCGTTCTTCGCACTTATGCCGCATAAAAGTCAATTCAACAGCAAAAACAAAAAATATTTAAAGACAGCACATTTTAGAATTTCCGAGACCATTTTCTGCGCTAGAGATAAAATTGTTGTATTCTACACTGTGTAATTGTTTTATAACTTTTTTTTTTTTTTTTTTCAATATTCGCTTTCAAATCGTTGAGTTTGTTAATCAAAATTCAGAAAAGTTTTATTGAGTAAGAAATAAATACCAAAGCAAATTTAAAATTAAAAATTCGGTCTTCCAATTGCACATATTTGGGTGGAGGAATATGTTATTCAAAATTTGATGGCTCTAGGTACCATCATTTTTTCACAGTGCCATGAAAATGCATCCGCATATGCAGATTCTTCATAACTTCATAAACAATACGGGGTGGGCAATATTTGGTGGCAACAATTTGAAAAGGGGTACGCCGTTTATAGTGAACCGATGCAAAATCTAATTTCGAGGCTAATAGTTCCTTTTGGGGTAAAAAAGTACACCAAAGTACTAAACTAGGTTTAACTACATTTTATTTAATGTATGACCCAGGCACTTTACGAAGAAAAGTTAATTTCGACATTAAAAATCGTATGATTTCTGAGCTTTGCTTAGTGCATTACAAAACTGCATACGTTCTGCAGTAAGTCTGTTACGATAATTTAGGCGATACGTTCTGCAGCAAGTCTGAAGTAGACCGCATACGTTCTGTAATAAGTCTGTGACGATAATTTAGACGATAAGAAGCTGTTTCAGTGAAAATTCGGAAAGATACCTGACCATTCAAAATGCATGTGTTCCGCTTAAAATTTTAAGATTTAGTTAGTTTGTTTATGGCAAAGCACTCCAAGGCTATTTGCTACAGGGAAGGGATGCCTTCATGGAAGACTTTCTGAAGCAAACTTGTCTTATAGACATATTACACATGTGGAAAACAACAAAAACAAAAGTACCCATTCAGAACACCAGACCAAACTACCAGTGTTCAGCAATTTTTCCGTTCGGCAGCTGGGGACTGAAAATATTACTAAATTTTCATGCGATATTCCCTTCTTTCTTATATAAACTGACTATCATCTTCGACTTTAAAATTGCTTATTTATAAATTTTGGATTTTTGTTCAATTTAGGAAGTAATTAGGAATCCATAATTATCAGGGCCAATTTCAGGCATTGGATAAGCCTGCAAATACCGATAATTAGCAGCTGAATGACTCTAGGGTCTTGTTTCCTATTATTTGGCTAGAATCTCAAACTTTACGTTCTCAAACTTTTTTTTTTAGTTTTTATAACGTACTCAACTTCTTTATAATTTCGCAACTGGAAAAAATTCTGTTTGACTTTTGCCACTATGAAATCGGAAGTTAATTCGTGTTACTCTTTTCCTGTTGCTATTTTTTAGAAACATTTTTCACCTGGAATAGAAGTATGATGCAATGAATTACGTTCAAAATATTACGTTTTCTATTTTCTTCATTTAAATTTAATTTAAATGCCAATTCATGTCAGTTTAAAAATTCGCTTGTTTACATTAAAATGATTTTAGATGTAAAAAAATTTCAAAAGAGAAAAATGGTCAAGAGGCAAATCAAACACGTTGAACAAATTTTCAAAAATAATCAATGTCATTTTCAAACAATGCATTAAAAGAGTTCAAAAAAATCGGTAAAAACATTACCGCCCATATTCTTACATAAAGTCGTACATCACATCTACAGCCCACCAACGGTCGAGCGATAAAGTCGATGAACACTGGTAGTTAGGTCGAGGTTTGAATCCCGCGAACGGGCTGACTGCATGGGCGTTTTCGTGGTTTTCCCCATGTGTAACATGTATGCGAGCCACTTTTCCCTAGAAAGTCCTCCACAAAGACATCCCTTTCCTTAGGCAGATAGCCCTCGAGGCTTTGCTATAATCACATAAACCCAACCAACAAAACATTGCATTTATAATTACTGTAGGCTGATAAAGAAAGGATTATTCTTAATTGTTTAATTTGTGATGGCAAAACAATCAGAGGTTTATTTGCAGACAGAGAGGGATGCCTTCCTAACGTACGTTCTGAGATAAATTGGTTCGTTTTCACCAATTCACCATTCAATTCAATTTTTGTCTAGACATGGTAAGTTTTAAGTTTATCTCGAACGTTTCAAGCCGTCATCTTCCAGTTTGTGTTATTGCAATCATGGAGTTCAACAAAGTGTTTTCCACCTGCTTTTTGATTGTCCATTGCTTGATAATGCAAGAAATCTATTGAAATGCAGATTAAAATTAATTGAAATTTATTGGCCGCCGAAATGTTATGATTTTGTATGTTCAGATTCGGCTTACCGAGCTTTTGACGACTTATTTTAAACGCTCTAAGTGATTTCTTTATATATTTATATATTTTTGTATTTACTGTAATTTGGTGTGTATTTTTTTCTTTGTTTTTGATTTCATATTATTATTGAAAATTGATGTTATTACTTATGATTTTGCTTTTTGTTTACTTATGATTTGTAAGTCCAGTGTGATACTTTGTGGTGCCTGAGAATTTATTTTTCTTTTTTTAAAAAAAAAGTTAAACAAACATTCTAGAAGGATATGTATCCTATGTAATAACGTTTCATAGTCTTCGAAATCATACAATGTACGAAACGTGGGAAGACTTTACGTGACATCAGCATGTCCTGTAAAGTACTATAGACACTTAGAAAGAATGTAAAAGACACTTTAATCAACTAATCAACTCTTAACAGGCGGCACCACTCGTGCTTCAAAAAATATAGCAGCAGTTACGCTTTAAATAAAAGATATTAAGTTTAACTTAAGTAAGTAGATAAGTTAGCCTAACGGTTACACAATTCAATTTACTCAGAAGTTGTCTGTGATCTAAAGGTCGGCGTGACAAACCTAATTGGCGAGAATAGCTGAACACCATAGAATACCACTCTCAAGAGAATCGAAATTGGCTACATGTCAGAACCCGCTCTAGTTCTACTTCCTAAAACCTCCCTTTAAATACTCTCTTCTTTCTACCTCATCTGAATATCACTAGAGCTCGAAATTTACATTCTGGCGGGAAAATGGAAATGAGGAGGACAGGAAAGCTAATAAACATAAAATAACTAATTAATAAACTAAACGAAACCTTACAATTTAATTGCACTGATTATATAAGTCTAAATATATAATATTATTAAGAAGTATATGTATATTAGTTTTAATTCGCTCAGTTTTTTTTCTATAACAAGTGTATTGTTGTAAATTTAAAGATGAGTTAATAATCTTATGGCATGCAAAAGGATAAAACTCGAAGAATTTGCTAAGTTTTAAGAATTTATCAGATATAAAAATATATTATATGAGAGTAATACATTAAAAAAATGTCGTTATATTTCATGTATAACAAAAATATCTAATTATGTTGGCTTTCTAACTGAACTATTTAACTACTCTATTGCCCTTAATTTTTTTTAATCTAAAATTTAGAACATTACCATAACTTCCTTCCTATGAGATAGATAATATTTTGTGATATAATCTGAGCAGAAACGTCATAGCTAAATATGATAAACTTTTCATGTTGCCATTTCAAAAATTATGTTTCTAAACTAATTTCGTTGTTGTATGTATTAGATCGCTTTAAATGAAAAGTTAAGCTATATGCTATTAAACTACAACACAAATGAAACTGATTAATTTCCCACAAAAGATAATCTATTATCTTATCCTGAAGTGTAAAGTGCACCGTTAAATGCATAAACAGAAATAGCAGTCTCTTGTATCTTAGTTCTATTGGTATTTGAAATCATATTGCATTTGGTAACCAATGCTAATTTCGAAATCGCTATTTATCGATATTTTTACAGAATTACATGTATTCAACTTATCACATAGTCAAATTAGTTTTAATCAAATTTTAAATAATCTAAATATACTTTCATATCAAGCAATTCGTATTAAATTTTCGTTTGTACTCAATTCATATACAATGAACGATATCAGCTACGATATCATCTCTGATATTTCATTTTTTGAGCCACGATTGTTATTAAATGTGTTAGCAGTTCAAAAACTAGTTACTGTAGCCGACTATCCCCCATTCTGATAAATACTGATACTGCTCTTATTTTATATTTTGAAGTCATTAGTTTACCGAGGCATTCTAATGCAATTGTAGCTTTTTTTTCATTTACCTCTACTTTTTATTCTACTCTTACATGCCTGTATACAAATCATGAATATTTTGGGTTAGATTATTAGGCAAAGCACTAATGGTTTATTTGCTTTAGAATGAGTGCTTTAGTGGAGGACTTTATAAGAGATTTTAACTTCTATTTACATTCCATGAAGTAAAATCCATGAAAACCACTTTCGTGGTTTTATTTACAGCCAGTCGAATAATCTATGCACTTTAGCTATCAGAATTCAATCCACTATGAGTTGCCAAAATTAAATGCTGGGACTCAACACAGCGAGAAAGACCATAAATGAAGTTATTTACTGAACACTTTATGTTAACATGCTTAAAGTTAAAGCAAAATACCTACTACTACCAATAAATGTTTGCTCCTGCCTTATTTTTATACCCTTAATCAATAAAATATGATCTAAATGAAGTTTA